GATCTTTGAGTATATTTATCAATACTCGTATTACTATTTATCTAATTTCAAAATTTCCAACACGATTTCATACTTGCGAAAACATTACTTTTTTTTCAATACCGTAATGAATTTTGTCTATTATAATTGCATAGTTTCACGTAGACGCAAGGTCAATGACCTTGATTGGCTTACAGTGATATTCGTTAGTTATCTATCAGCCAGTACGTGCGGAATACGAAATCTAATATTAAGCGACAGCTGCATAAAATTATCATAGCTCTAGGCGTTGGCCCAATTTCCGTAATAATCATGCAAGCTATTTAAAATCGCAAATCAGTTGAAACTCTCAAACGTATCATTAAACTTTTGTTTAAATACAACTTGACTAGAGTTTAGTAGTCAGCCAGCATCTATTTTTTTTATAAATACTAGGAACTCTTCCACAACAAGCCAGGGTCTTGTATCATTTCCATATATCCACTTCCACTTCTTTTTCCCTTCCTTTGTTTCCAAATTCAATCTTGCTTGATAATGATGTTAAAATATTCTCGCGAAAGTTTTTAGATGAAGTATTAAATAAGAGCGAAAAGCTACGTTCAACTCACGGACGTTGCGTTAAATCTATTTTACTGTGGCATATTTACACAGAGTAATTATAACCACATGTCCCGGCCTTTGTATGCGACTAACAAGGCGTCCAGGTGTCGTTGTCTGTTTACATAATCCGATGACAACATAAACATTTTAAACTACTAAGAGCCCATTAAATTTTCGCAAAATTCTCAAATCAAAAACAATCTAATTTTATAAATATCTCGGTCGGTAAACACTTAACAATTTGCGTGGGTAAAAGAGATTAACTTTCAAAAAGGGTCCACACTTTCACTTTACAGCGATATTTGTATCAGTGCATTTAGTGTTACTAAAGGATAAAGTTTTCGTAAATAAAAACATTAGTTCTTAGTATGCTTTCATAACAACAGTTCTAGGACTATGAGCTCAATAACAAACAGTACCTAGATTTTGTAAATGTCGCATGACGAAGTACCTCTTTAGGTAAAAGCTTAAGGAATAAGGAAATAACTTTTAATGATGTGAGCTGATAGCATAACTTAATACAAATTAATCACCTTTACACTTGCATTCTTCATACTTTTTATTACCTCGATTTCGACGGTCATACCGCAATAAAAGATAAGAGAGTTTCACGAGTAGTTATATTCATAGTGCGAGGACAGCGACAATGACTCGGTTGAATTTCAAAATGTTTACATGATGTTCTAAATTCCGTAACTGGTTTAATATAGAATTTGCAATAGTCGCGAAAATGTCCCCGCCTGTGGTAACGTGAGGCTGCATCGAAAGAGTCGCGCCATCGAAGTCGCGCTCGTCACCCGCCGCACCGCCCGTCGGTGCGCCACACCATTACATAACTCGACGTGCAGCCAATGACCCACTTAGTGAATTGCTGCATCTAAAGACAACAGAAGTGTAATAACGTAGCACTTATATTACACTCTCTCACATGCACAAGTCGTATGAACCCTTCATCGTCATCTAAAGGTATTCCTACTGCGTAAACCATCTCAATCAATGGTGGTATAGTTTTCTCGTGCTAACCTGTGTTTTGCAATACGTACGCATTCTGATTACGTCACGACCTACTTACGGTACGCGTACAACGAATGATATCACCTTATCAGTGAAAAAAAACACGTGATATTATTGAACGGCCGTTAAATTGAAATGAACACCTTTCTTCTCATCTCATGATAGAGCCGGTAAGGCTTCCTTACCTTACCTGTTTAATGTCAGCACAAATAACCTTTCGTAATTATTTATTTTCCCCGTCTTTTCCTGTTTTTATTAGCATAACGGAAATGTTGTAATTATAACTGTGAGATCATCTTAATAAAATGTACTGTAATTATTAGTTCTTGACTGAATGGAAAAAATGCATCCAATAGACGCTAATAACGCTCAACTATTTTACAATAGCAATAAATTCATTTCGTCATTGTCTTTCTAGTCAATAGATATAAAAAGAATATTGTATTTATACATATTTTATACGTTGATCTTACTTCTACCTATCTTCCTAATATTATAAATGAGCATGTTTAGATGGATGGATGTTTGAAGTTATCTCCGGAACGGCTCAACGGATCTTGCTGAAATTTCTCATACATGGAGAACATAGTCTGGAAGAGCATATAGGCTACTTATTATTTTTCTTTTTAAATTGCGGCGGATTTGTAGGCCACGGCTAGTTTAGATATAAAACGCATATTAGCTCTAAGTTTTATTAATGTCTATGCCATAGGAAAACGGAATTACAATATTAGTGATATAAGTTATTATCTGTGGTATTAAAGCATACTTTAGATTTTACCGACATATAATCTCAAATTGAATCTATTCGATCAGATATCAATGGGTGTGATGTGACTAATCTCTAATGATTCATAAACAAAACCGATAAGATACGATAACGATTAATGTTTTTTTCTTGCTGACAAGCGAGACGTGTGAAATTTTATTCTTATAAACGCATTCAATAAAATGTTAAAAAGCACGTAGTGTTATAGAGATTGAACAAGATAATATGGAATATCTTATTAATATTATAAACGCAAATGTTCACATAGATTGATGTTTGTTAGAAAATATCACCAGAACAACAGCATGGATCTTTGAAATTTGACATATTTGGAGAACATAGCCTGGAAGAACACATAGACTACTTACTTAATATTTTTTTTAATTTCGCATAGAAGAGTCGACAGCTTGAAAGGAAATAAAGTTTATAGTTTACTTCGTGTTAATAATTTTTAACATAAACTATCAAGAAAATAAAGATACCCACTGATAAGAATATCGAAGATAGTATCGTGCTTATATCTAGAGATAACGATTCAAATACAGTGTAAACATATAACAACTCTCGATGTTACGTTGAACTCCTCAAAACGTCAAAACTGCATGACTTTTGTCGGTTTACCTTGTTTTCCATACATTAATACACTCCATTTAACGTCTCGCACTCTATTTAACGTCGTAAATACGGCATCATAAACCAGCAGTACTTTTCCAATTTTTAAGTTTATGTTAAAATCTTGGAAATGCGTCATTATACGTTCTTATGTTTGTCGTTTTATTATCCAACACGTGTTTACGATAGTGAAAACCATATTTCGAATTTTATCAAAGTTTAGCTCTTTGACTATAACAGAGGTCACAAACTTTCATTTAAGATTTAACGGTGTGGATAGTGGAAGGTATTATTCTACTTACAGTAATTGTATTCATTACATTGCCGACAACTGAAACCTGTTAAAACTATAGTTTCTTTTTATCTATTCACCTTATCTTAAATCATCTATTTATCGCAGCAATAATGGTTTATTGCAACTTATTTAGATTACACTTATCACCATATTCGATTATTGAAAATAGGTCAATCCAATTGCCATTTTTACCTTCCAATCAGGTTATTTAAATAGAACGGCAAAATATTGTAAAACATAACTGAACTAGCTGTCGCGAGCGAATCCATCTGCGCGTAATTGAAAAAAAAAACTTTATTAGTAGCTTATGTGTCCTTCCAGACTATGCTCTACCTCTATGCAAATATTATCGAGATCCATGTAGCTGTTTTGGGAATAACTTCAAAGAAACGTCTATACATCCATCCATCTAAACATTCGCATTTACAACATTAGTAAGATTATTAAAGTGTGGGACTAATAGCATGTTCTTCTATTATGAAAATTATAACGCTGGCATATGTTTACAACCATCCAAAAAAATTCTACTAATTATATTTAAATTATAAATTAAAATATTTTGCGATACAATTCAAGTAATCACTATTAAACGATTATTTAAAAATATAAGTTCTTATAAAACATTTTAATTCCTTGGCAATTCCGCTAATCGCCGTGGGATCCTTGGAAACTTGGTTAACAATCAGTAATTAAGTAAATGACCAATGAGAAATGCTACGAACTTGCAAACAATTCTTTAGAATCTACACTTTACATTTTACAATTACTTCAAGCATCACATTATCCTTTTTCTCATGCATATACATCCAAAAGTAATAATATATACGACAAATGGGTGCCATTACGCTTCGAAATTTGTTTTAGAAAATACCACGCTTTATCCCAGAAAACCTACAGAACTTATTTCAACTAACGACAAAACAATTTTATAAAAAAAAGTTCGTTACCACGGCATCGACATTGTTGATTGATGTCGAATTTAAGAATACCTGATAATTTGTTGTGTTAATATGGTTAAAAATCTTATTGCCGCGGAGCAAAAACGAAGAAGTCAATTATCGTAGGATAAGTTTAAAGTACTGGATTTAATTTTAAAGGACATTAGTTCGTTAATGTAGTATTGACATAGATATAAAGTGTTGCAATATCAATTGATATTGTAGCGCCCTCATGACAGGATGGTTAATTTTTTGATACGCTACACTTTTTGTATTTTATATCTCTTAAAATACTATCTAATATAAATATACGTAACTATTCTACATTCATTCTTAATTCGGTTCGACCATTTATTAAGGCCTGCATATTATGTTACCACAACTAGGTCAAAGTCGATTTTTAGCTCATCGCCTGACATTGCGCTACTACAATATTGCGCCATCTACCGTAGTATCAGACACCGACCCTATGATATGTAGTCTGTGGTTAAAATAATAAGTTTTTTTTGTTGTAAGATGACATTTAGGATGATGACATATATTCACTAGTCACCCGATATTTTTCATTTTATGACCAATATTTCATGAATAAAATTAGATGACATTAGTTATTTTTGTCAGTAATAGAAAAGTAATGATAATTAACGAAACATGTATTAAAATATTTTTAGAACCCATACATTATTCCTGTACCATTCAGTAAAGACGGTGCCGTATCTCTGTTATCTCATCCCGCCTTGAACGGATATATTCAGAAGGATTTTCATATTGAAGAATATACTTTCTTTTTCAGATATCGTCATAATGGCGCTAATACTACAATATATAAATGATATGCAAGGCTTTATGGATAAATATGGAGGTGAGTTTAAATAAAATAACAACCTATTATTAATTGATTATTAAAGCAAAATCAATAAGTGCGACTGAAACAGTGTCAATTTTACCAAACCATACTACTATCTATTAGTTACATTAGGTTTGTTATGGTCATCACTTAACATAAAGTTTAAATTTTAAAAATTGCTACCTCTTTTAGCTATAACCTTTGATTAAATTTTTTAAATAAGTTATAAACCTAAAATACCTTTTATATTTAATATGAAATTAAATTTTATAAAAACTTTCTTCACAGACCCTCGGACAAATCCATGGTTCCTGATGAGCTCTCCATTCCCCACATTATTAATATGTCTAAGTTATGTTTATCTAGTCAAGGTAAAAATTTTTTTGTTTTTTTCTTACTTAAATATATATTGGCTGTCATATTCTCTTTATATTCATATAAATGTTATTTTGTGGTATCTTTACATATTAAAACAAATAAATATAATTGTTGTCTATTAAATTTCAGGTTTTAGGGCCCCGATTTATGGAAAATAGAAAACCATTTGAATTAAAAAATGTTTTAATAGCATACAACTTTCTACAAGTACTCTTCAGTGCATGGTTATTCTATGAGGTAAGTCAGTTTACTTATACCACTAATACATTAGTTAATAATTAAAATAATAATTATTTTTTAGAATACACCAAAAATTTACCAAGTTGGTAAATATAGTTATAAATATTAATATAATTTTTAGTTATCTTAGATTTCAGTTAGTTAGTAGAATATTCTCTAATTAATTAAATAAACAATAGTACCAACATTATGGAATTTTGTATCTTTTTCTGAATTCACTTTATATTTTTTCAATTTAATAATTTTTTTATTTCACAAAATACAATCTTAGTTAACTAAATTTAAATTATTAACTAAAAAAACTACTGTAAATCTATTGTTTTGTAATGACTTACAATACTTTGAATTTCTAATTGGAAAAATAATGATATACGTAAATATTTAACATTTTTAATTTTTAATACAGTACATCCATTGTTGTTTGTGCATATTTTATAACTTATTACGATTAATTTGTACTTTGTCTATATTATGGAAATTTTGCAAAACCATTGAAAAATTTTCATGCTTAATAAACATAGCTCGTCCTTGATATTTTTATGTAAAAGCTAATATAGTTATGTAAAAAAAATGTTTACCGTATTTTTTTGAATTTACGGGTTTTAGTACAAATGTGAAATTATTTAGGTTTTTTATTGAAACAAAATATACATCAATATTTCATAAAGGTTTGTATGTGGATTGTTTTTATAAAGGAGTATACATACATCATTTTATATAAATATTAATGGATTGACTTTGAAGTAACCAACATAACAATTAAGAAAAAAAAAGAAATTAAGAGTTATAAATAATAAATATTTTTATGCAAAAAATATCTTAAATCTTACTTTTTACTATGTTGCGAAAATTTGGATGGATATGAATATCTTCACTGGTGCATAAATCTGGAAATTATGTATAGATGTAGAACACTGTCTGAAAGAACACATAGGCTACTTAATTTCTATTTTATTTAATCACGGAAAAATCCTACACTAGTAATAAAATAAAAGTTATAAAGTTAAGTATATTAACATAAAATATACGCATATAATGTTTTATATAATTACATTGTAATATGTAAATATAATTGACTATAAAATCAATATTTACATTTGCTAATATTCATAAATGTTACCAGTAACAAAATAATTAATCCTTATTAGTGTCAGCTATAAAACCCAGGGTTTTATAGAGCAAATTATAATATAAATTAGTCATAAATTAATGAAATTGTTTTAATAAAAAACTCAGAGCTTGATGGGGGGCTGGCTGAAGCATTACAGTTTGCGATGCCAACCAGTTGACTACTCAGACAATCCTGTAGCAACTAGAGTAAGTGAAGGACGCAGGCGCTACCTGCCGAGCTACAATACAAAAACAGACTAACAGAATGCATTGTATATAGACATCGATCATAATATTATTATTATTTTCAGGACACCTGTACATATTTTGAACTGGCAACTATGTGATTGTAGATTTTAAATGGCGTAATTTTTTATGGCTTATGTATACTCTCATGATCCCAACTGTATTTTCATATTAGGAAACAATCAGAATATTAAACTACTTAAGATTATTATTGAATTATTAATTATGGTAACCGGGAGCATTTTGGCGTAACGTATCAAAAAATCTACAATATTTTAGTTGCCAGCCGTAAGTTAGGTACAGGGCAAAGAAGGAGTTATCAGAAAAATAATAGTATTAATAATCTGTATTTCTACAATTTATTATATTATATGAAAACTACTAACACTTATTAGGGTTGACACATACGGAAATGTAAAAAATACGAGGCCGACTAGAACGTTTGCGTCAACCCTGAGCTTGTATTATAGAATGAATGTACTAGCCGTAGTTAATTAGATGCCGGTATGTGGTGATTAACATGTCGCATACTAGGATGACGAGCATGCGGCAAAGAGCGCGCTATGCAGTATACAAATAACACAGGGCCTGGTGTCGGCGTATTGTTTCAGATCGGGGCCGCTGGCTGGTTCACAGGCAGGTATAACTTTCACTGTCAGCCGGTCGACCACTCCAAACATCCACAAACAATGAGGGTGAATTACAACTTCTTCCGTTATTATGCTCTCAAACCCTTGGAAATTTCAATTTCTCGTTTGATTTGCTTTAGTGTTTCCTCACCTTCATAGGGTTGCCATCTATCATTTTATCATATTTGAATTATTTTATATCTTACATTGAAAATGGCCTATTCTAATCTAGTAGATTAGATTAGTCCATATTTCTGTACTTTGAATATTAACAAAAAAGACTTGTTAATTAAAAATAGTTTTGGTGGCAAACCTATTTTATTAAGTTCACGTATCCTCCAATGCGCACATAACCACTGCTAAGGATACAATCAGGACCCTTGATGTTTTTTTTTTCGGTTTTTTTATTTGTTTTGTTATTTTGGCACTCTAATACATTTTTTCCAAACACTTGTCTGCATTGACCTAGCCTCCTCGATCTATCGGTATTTGCATTAAATCCATCATTGATCATGTTCTTCATTGGTATAGAATCATTTAATTGAATTAAAAGCTTATAAAATTGAACATTTTTAATATTCTTACGTGTGGCATAAAGCTTCAAAAATTGCGTTTTTATAATTGTGTCAGTTTAGTAGTTTTAGACATTATTAGTTAGAATCCTTTAGCGCGAATGACGTGCTTTCATGACAAAGTCCAGTGTCAGAATTAATAGTGAGTGAACACAAACGTCAAATTTAGTAAGACTAGTGTTGGGTCAATACACTGCCGCATTTTCGGATTTTCACCTTAAAGTAGTAACCGTCACTTGACTTAATGACTCTTGGTTAATCATGAAAAAACGAATTTCAAATAGAGCCTAAAGTAATCAAAGGCTAAAACATATTGAGATTCTATATGATGTAGCCTAAACACATTCTGTTTGACAATAAGCTTTTATTTCATCACATTTAGCGAATATTTATAATAGCTTTAACAAACATGGAAAATGTATAAAATTACGCCCGCTTATTCCATTTCACGACCATTTTTATTACATCGATAAATAACATTGCACGTCCAACTATTTAAGCCAATGCAAGCATCTAAATTGTTACATAGATACGGAATCAATACTGGAAACGTCACTCGTTATTGCTTTAATACTGTATCGTTTACATGGACAGAAGTGTAAACACTCAAGTCACGAATTCCAGTATGGATTTATAGCTATGTACTATGCTTAACACTTTTGCATGTTTATTATAATGGCACAGAATTCTTCAATTTGGATCTGTTTTTTTAATATCCTATAGTTTTAATCTCCAATAAAAAAAACTCGCTAACTATAATAAATAAAACGTAATAATTGATAAGTTCTGTGTTATTTAGTCTTATTTTATTTTATATTTTATTAATTGGAGGCCATCGAACAAGTAAGGAAAATCTATTTGTTGAGTTTTTCATTTAAAAATTAAATTAAAAAGACACTTTACGTGATAATAATATTAATTTTATGTTTTCAGATGGTACATGCATGTTGGTGGTATTATTTCTCAAAGTTTACGGAATTTTTTGATACGGTAAGATCCTTTTTTAATATTTTAATTTATTGTAGTTCCAAAAATGCAGTTATATCTATAAATATTAACTCTCGTTAAATGTTCTAAGTCTAGAACTAGGTCTTTGACATCAGAGGAACAGAATACTTTTATTTTTAGCCTGTATTATGATACGATTTTTCAATTGAAAGAATAAGTTATGTAAACAGGCACGTCAAACTCCAACATGGCGGCCCTTTCTATGTTTGCAGTGTGATATTGTAAAATTAGAAAAATTAATTATAGTTATATGAGAGTGTTATATCAGAAATATTTTGAAATTTGCTAGTTTTTGCTTAAAATGTAGTTTGTCTATGGTTAACGGTTTGAATTTGAATCCGGCATACATATTTAAAATTGTTTATTTCAGATCTTCTTTGTATTAAGAAAGAAATTTGATCATGTGTCTACCCTCCATGTGATCCACCACGGTGTGATGCCGATGTCTGTATGGTTCGGTGTTAAATTCACTCCTGGCGGCCACTCCACGTTCTTCGGCTTGTTGAATACCTTTGTACATATCATTATGTATACATACTACATGTTGGCCGCTATGGGACCTCAGATGAGGAGGTACCTGTGGTGGAAGAGATATCTTACTACCCTACAAATGGTAAGTCAATAGTCTTACTAATATTATAAATACGAATGTTTATGTGAATGGATGTTTGTTTGAAGGTATCTCAGGAACGGATCTAGATGAAATTTGGCACAGATCTAGAACATAGTCTGGAAGAAAACATAGGCTATTTTTTTCCGCGCGGACAGAGTCGCGGGCAACATCTAGTGTAGAAATATAATTTAGAGTTGAAGAAAATTGTCTCAAATCACGCATTCAAAGTTCTTCCTTCTACTTCTTTTTGAATAAACCGTACTACTATTTTTTTCCTGTTGATTTGACAATGTAAACACACGATAAGATTACACTTTACTTCTCTCTAAAATATGTCGTAATGTATATACATTAGGAAGTAATAATATTATCCATATTACAAGTTTCTTATTGACCTTACATCGGTGTAACTTGTTGAATAATATTCGTAACACGAAACTGGCCTTTGTCTCTGAACAATATTGTGTGCTCTGTGTATGGGGTGAGCGAGACAAAACACACGAGCGAGACAACAATACCAAAGAAATAATTCGTGTGTTCGTGTAATGATTTTTTATATTTACGTAAATGTTGTTTGTCACCGTTTTGGTGACTCCTATGAATGTGTCTTCAAAGCGTCTGGTAATTTTAATTGTTGCTATTATCTTGCTTCGTATTTATATTAAAAATCTCGCTGAAATTTGGCATAGATAGAGAACATAGGCTACTTATTAAGTTTTAATTCCGCGCGAATGGAGTTGTGGTCGACAGCTAGTTAAAGATAAAAGTGAATATCCTTAAAAAGCACTCCACGCGGTGTTCACTATTTAAACAGATCCATTTCGAAAACCCAGGAAGCGCTAAATAGTTAAAAATAACTTAGCATTCTTATATTGTTATCGTTTTCTTGTAATATTTTAGTTTGTCATTTTATTGTACGTTCATAATTTGCAATAAAAGTAATAACATGTCTTATTTTGTAACGACTAAAATAATAACTCGACTCGTTGACAACTTTTGCGTATATTATACTAGACGTCCTTCTATCAGAGCTAGTGCGTTAACATTTTTCCACATTCTTCAAGTCTTGTTATTACGCCTTAGGTAGTTTATTAAATATTGACATTACTTGGTAAACGATTAGCTAATGTTTAGTCGATGTCCATCAGCTCGTGAGCACTTTACATAATTTATTGCGTACTAAAAATATAATATAGATATACTCGAGGAATGCAAATGATCACTAAAATGTTTTAACGGACACATAAATTTAAAATTAAACATTTATAGAACTGTAAAACGGATGCGAACTTACCTGACTTTTAACCGTTAACATTTGTACGCGTCTTTTTTACTTGTATAAATGCAAAGAAATATTGTCTTCATTTTTTTTGCATTTAGTAGAGTCACTAGATTTCTATAGTCCAGTACTTCATACTAGTATTATAAATGCGAATGTTTAGATGGATATTTGTTTGAAGGTATCTCCAGAACGCCTGATCTGATCTCAATTAAATTTGGCATACATATAGAACATAGTCTGGAAGAACGCATAGGCACATATGTTTTTTTTTTATTTCTGCGCGGTCGTAGTCGGGGGCGACAGCTAGCAATACATAGTCATCCCTCTCATTCTCGTGTTACAGAAGTAAAATTCCAATAAATTCACGGATGTTAACATTCTGTGTATACAAGCGAGCGTCAGTGACGTCATGTTCATTAGCGCGTTGTTATTTGCAGGTGCAATTCATCGGCATCATGGTGCATGCGTTCCAGCTGCTCTTCATTGACTGCGACTACCCGCGAGCCTTCGTTTGGTGGATCGGCATGCACGCTGTCATGTTCTTCTTCCTATTCAAAGACTTCTACAACCAGTCATACTCCAAACCCAAGGTAACACGTCAACATCAGATTCCTCTATGTCAAGTTACGCTATTTATTGCGAACTGCTACATTTTTTCTTTAACATCGTAAATTGTCTCATATAGCAAAACTTATTTATCTTTTTAACTTTATTTAATGATATTTAGGCACTAATTGTGTGTATTCAATTAATGCAAGTGGAAAGGTATTGGCTCCTGACAAAGGGCAGCCTTTTTCGGGTTCGGGAGTCAAAGCTTCAAAATGTATATAATTGTCACACTAAAACTTATTTGTTTATAGCATCTTGGAATATCTTAAACTGAAGCCTTACAGTACATTTGTACTGCTTGTTTTCCTATATTAAAATTATCTAAATAATATTTAAGCTTAATATTTTGTAGTTTTTGAGTAAAGTTTAATAAAAATATGACTTTTTTCTAGGTCCGTGCGAAGTCACCGCAACCAGTAACAACGGAAATAAAGGAAGTGTACAAGAATGGTACACTAAAGAACGGCTACACGAATGGTCATACGAACGGCACGGGAACATTTGTGCGGGCGCGTACCGTGCTGCCGGCGGGCAACTGACCTCGCAGTGACCGGGGCCCGATTCAGACCCTGATGCAAAGCTACATATGTGACATGTGACAGTGGAACTCATAGTGTTACCTCTCGTGTAGTGCAGTGACGTGGACCAAAGTTCATATTATTGATTGTAAGAGGACGTCCAGCGTTAACCGAACGTTGTCCCCAATGTTACCGGCCGGCTTCATACATGCAGCTTCTCTCTTTATGGATTTGTATGTATTATAGTTTTAATTAATTGTTAGGACCAGAATGTTCATTACGTTGACATTAAAATCATGGTGATGTTAATTTTTAATTCTATTTGAAATAAAATAGTTATGTTCAAGACTTTCAAGAAAGCACAAATACAATATAGTTTATTGTTGTAAAGATTTAACGGTCAATTATAAGCCCAAGTTATTTCAGGGTTAATATTCTTTAATATCAGGTTTCAAAGTATATTCAAACATTTTGGAGTAAACGAGCTTAATGTCATCATAGTCCACACAAGCCTGAGGTTTTTGCAATAAGCATTATCCCCGTTGCCTGGAACGGTCACAAGATATATTACTAAATAGTGATCGTATTCAGGCAAAGATGGCGGAATCTTTTCCTGTCTGTGGTCTGCGCATTAGTCTTTTGCCGTAACTTAATGACTCTACCATGTTCAAATTAGCATGAGATTTTGTGTTTACAAAATATAAGCAACCAGAGAGCTGTTTGTGGATGTATATATTTACGAAAAAAGATTAATAATTAATAAATAAATAATTAATTTGCTATAATAAATGTAATTTTGTAAATTTAAATGTACAGTCACTCTACTTTTTATATAAAAAAAGTTAAATTTGTATATTTTGATTTGGGTAAATTGTTGCAAAAATGAAATGTTTATATGTACTATGTTTGTTGACATAAAATTTCATGCTAAAATAAAAAAGACTAGAGTTGTTAGCATTAAATGTGATTTTACCTAGTTGTATATATTAGAAGGTATCAATGGTGTAAATGTTATTTTTATCGATACAAATTTAGCTAGATTTTGTGATCGCATAGCGTTTTGTACTTTTATTACATTTACATATGTTGCTTTTTAATTAAACTCTTAAAAGACAATACTTATTGATTCAGTTTGAGAAAGGTGCTTTTTTAATGTTCCCGTTGATGTTCTAAATTATATGTAAAATAAGCACCTTGCCACAATTGTTGAATAAAGATCATTGTAAAATATTATTATAACAAAATTACAGTTTAAAAATTAGCGTAATTGTAAAATAATTTCATAATTAATGCAATTTATCACATGTAACTTTCGTTTTCTAATGTTTATTATTGTTGATATTAAAAAATATTATCAAACAACATTTTAAAATTAATTTTAAGTAATTTTAATCTGCATACACATTACAAATAGGGCCTATGATCAAAATTAATAAATATTTATATAATTTTATATTAAAAAAAAGAATTGTCCCAGATTATTTTAACATTTGGATAACCAATGAAAATGAACAGTGTTTAACTGCAAGTTTCTGAGACCAGAACTCTGTATAAAACATAGTATCATCCTTTTCTTTCATCTTTGACAAAACAGAGATAACAAAATGTTTTAAATGGGAATTTTGGTCTCAGAAACTGACGGTCAGTTGACTGTACAATAGGCATTGGCCCATGTAATGTGTATGCAGTAAAACAGTATTTTAATTTTGCATCAAATGTTAATAGGAAGTACTGTTTCAATGCAATTTAGATTATTGTCAATACGACGGTTGTGTTGGTTATTTATTTTTTTTTTATTTATATTTTATTTATACCAAATGTCTTTATATGGTACAGAATCCTGTCCGAAAAATTTTAAACATTTTTATCTGCTAATCTAGGGATGATCAATGTTATATAAATTTATATAATTATAAAACTATAACATTAAACTAATATTTCTCTTGTTCAAAAGTTGTTGAGCGAAATTCATTGATGTTATTTTATTATTGTTATATTCATGTTATTTTTAAATATAGCTTATTGATCATCCCTACACAGAAATATTCAGTTACAGTTCGCCTGCAAAGCAGTTGACGCGGCGTTTTTTACTTACTACAGACTTCTTATTATAGAAAAATATACATTTTTGAATTAAATCAGTTTATTATTTATTTTTACCCTTGTCATTACGGCGAAACAGTTGAATTATGTTTTAAAAGTAACATAAAAAAATATATAACAAATTATTGAATACAGTATGCTGCGAACCCCGAAATGAGTGAGATTTATCAATTTTCGCATAGTCGTTAAATTATGGCATTGAAAATGTGAAGGGCATAAGTAAATATGTAAATAAAAACTAAGATGGAACATTGCCTAATCCAAGGCTGTTAATTTATAAAGATATGAGTTACTTATATCTAACATTAACCCTTGATCTCTAATGTCCCCTATGTAAAATTATAAACATTTCAACACACATAATACCAATACAGAAATCAAACTTTTTAACAACATAACTCGGTGGTATTTTTGTGGGATACAATTTAAATCTAGCTAGCTAAGCTAAGCTACATTATTTTAGATCATATCTGATTAATATGGAAAGAAAAACAATCTTGCCCATTAGAATAATATATTTTTATAAATTTGGAAGACTGACTCTCACATGAATACATTTACAAAAACACTTAACGAAGCTGCAAAGCCTTTATAGCTGCATAAAAAGGAAGTAACGCTTATAACTATCGCCTTGCGAGGTGTTGGTTAGGAATTTTAAGTACATTGAAAAAGAATTTAAATAATTAAGCAGACTTTGCACAACGGAAGCCTAAGTTTCCTGCAGAACTGTCATCTGTGTTGTGCGACCGTGCTGAACATCTGTAGCGGTAACAATAGGAACGGTGGCATAAGTATGAACCACCTTTCTTTACTTTTTCCTTAGGCTGAAATAACACAATGTTTCATAAGGTCAAAAGCATTTCAGCAACATCAACTGTGGGTTTCAGAGACCAAATTCGTTGTTTAAAAAATATTGTTATCTCTGTTTTGTCAAAGATAATAAAAGAGACAATATGTTTTATACGAAGTATATTGGAAACCACTTGTAATAGAAGCAACTAAGTGTACCATAATTCCATCCGATATTAAGTTGTAATGTGACTGAAAGTTGGAATGCGCTAGCTTAGTAAAAACATGTCCTAAACTATGTGCTATATAAATAGGCACTCTTGAATGCATCTATGTCATAATTGGATGGCATAACCAATGCTAGCTATGTACAGTCGAACTTGGATAAGCAAGAGGCCAAGAGATCAGAATAGTTTTGATATTTACTTATTGTGGTTTCACTGTGATCCGAGTTTCTTGCTTATCATGGTTTTCCATTGGATGTGGATATATATACTAGACAATAACTCTAATTCATCAGTTTCTCACTTAACCAGGTTCTACTGTATATAATGTGTATGTGAAAACCACATTGCATATTATTATACAAATAAATTTTCAGCATAAGTACATTAGTGACATTGCTTAGCTGTATTTTAGATGGCTGCTGTCCTTATAATACTTACGTTGTCACTGGACCATGAATCTTCAGTCCACTCCCATACATTTCCAGCCATGTTGTGGAGTCCAAAATTATTTTGTGGAAACAGGTGTACAGGATTGGTTCCTATATATCCATCCTTTTCAGAGTTATGATGGGGAAAAGTACCTTGCCATATGTTTGCCCTGTAAATACAATGTCCAATAATTTCTTAATTGTATTATGAAAAGTGTACATAGAAAAATTTTACTTTTCAGCTATTGCAAATGAAATATCAATAAAATTTTATAGATGAGAAGAATCACAAGAGCTTTTCTATTCTTAGGTTATCTTTGAACCATTCTGCATTGCTTTTTTACCAAATGAACACACAATATATTAAAATAATATAAATAGAGTATACAAACATATGTTTCTTTTCGGGAAATAGTTTATCACCCCAGGGGTACTTTGTAGCTCGTTGTCCCCCTCTGCAGGCTACCTCCCACTCTGCCTCGGTGGGCAGCCGAGCTCCCCTCCACTTGCAATATGCACGAGCATCATTCCATGACACATGTATAACTGGATGGTCCATTACATCTAAAAACATCAATAACAATCTTAGGTATTAACATATATAGACCAGAAATGCATACAACTATAACTGGATATGATAAAATAACATACCTAAGATATCAGAATCAGGTCCATAGGGATGTGTCCAATCCGTACCCATTATTTTATACCACCATGGAGCTTGTAAAACTCGAAAGTCTTTCATTTTATCTCTAAATGTATTATTTAGGAACAATGCAAATACAAAACTATCTCCAAAAGTTTCAGCTTCAGTCTTGTAATTTGTTAACTTTGTAAAATGACTAAAATCCCTGTTTGATACTTCATATTTGTCTACGTAAAATGAATCCAACTTGACGATTTTTTCCGGACCTTCAATATCATTTTTAATTATAATATCGTCTGTACCGATGTAATACTCTCTGCCAGATATTAAAACCATATCATTCGTTACTTCGTAGATTTCACTGTCTTCAACTTTGGTAACAGTTGAACATTCACCTTCTTCACTTTGTAGTAAGTTATAAAATAACTTTCTGTCATAGTTGTCTTTTTGCGCTCGGTCTATACTACAACCACAATTACTCTCTTTATTCTCTATTATTTTAAACTGTAAAATACATATTAATATAATGCTAGCTAACATTTTTCTACTCTAAACTATACCTAAAGTAATTAGAAAGTACAAACCGCAAAATGTCAAAACATCGATAAAATAACCTTAAAATAAAGTGATAAACAAACAAATATTGTGTTGTTTACACAAGGTCAGCTCAGTAATCCAGTCACGCGTGAAGTCAGCGCTGGCATAGTGTAGACACTAACGGAAGCCAGTAAGCCAGGCAGACCGATAACTGGAAAGGCGTTTTACTTTTCAGGCCAGTTCGGCCATTCCGTCACAACTGACGCCGCAAATGTAGACTGTCTGGGACTGGCCTGTCACGCCATATCTGACTGAATTGTATAGGAACCACACGTTGTTAATTTATCTGCACTGTTTCTGTTAAAGTTTGTTGTCATTTTTGCTTTATTAATAAAAAAAAGTTAAGGCTGTGGTGGTATTAAATATTAAAAATAGAGCTCTTAAGCTGTAATGCAATTACAGATGGAAAAAGCTATACCTATTGATAGAATAGTAACTAAAAACTGGTTCTTGATGTTTTAAAATGTAATTTTTTCATATAACGCATAAACGTTGCGTTATTTAACTATTAATTAAGTTCTTCGATAATTGCTTGTTTAACTTAAGCTTATGTAGCGTTTTCCATTGATTTCTAGACGACATTGTCCCTGTAGTCTTAATAATCCACAGTTCAGATTGAACAGGCATAACGTTAACAACGCCTTAAACAATCTATGATAGGCCAGCGCGGCTGGCATGCTGAGCTGGCCTAGTGTAAACCAGGCATAAGTACTGTTTTTCTAGTCAATAGACTTACCACTAGAATCTTTTAGGCTAAGTTTATCACAAAATTAATTAAATTGGTATATAAAAGAAGGTTCTACAATTTTATGTTAAAACACAATTTCAATTTAGTATTTATTATAGCTTACAAGAATGCTTAGTTTATGAAAAAAACAATCTATAAAAAAACGAAAAGATTAAAAAATAAATAGTAAATTTAATTCCTTTTCTTATTATGACGGAAATAAGTGACGGCTGCGGAATTCTGAAAGAAAAAGTTACTATTTCAATCAAAAAATATTATAACAAAATTACGCCTATTCGCTCAGTCACGACCTTGCCGCTGCGAGCGGGGAGCGACGAAAGTGAGCAATATGGATTATTAAAGGTATGAAGCACTGAACATAAGCGAATGAATAAAATATATCTTGTATTATCTTCATGTATCTTCTTTCACTGTATAAAAAGGTATTTTAATGTTTTCAGCTAGCAACGAAGCGCTGCTCATTGTAGAAAAGGGCGTGGTATTGACCGAGCGAATCGCTACAGCGGCGCGCGGTACGGGGTGCGGCGGGAACAAAGTAATCGAACTATCGAATGAGTTCGTAGCCGAGTGGCCGCCACACAAAGCGGCACGGACAGCGGTTTGTAAGGGACGGATTCAATAGCGCAGTAAATTAAAATATTTTATAGGATTTTATGGCGGAAATGAATACGGAAACGTTTATAACAGAAATTTTAAATCGACCGCCTATATGGATGTCGAAACATCCACAACATAAACATAAATACGTCGTTAATAGGTTGTGGGAAGAAATAAAACAATGTTTTCCAACATATGATGGTAAGTTTAATATTTTTAGAGATTATAAATTATTAGAGAAATTATTTGTATATAGACCGTTTTTTCTCCTAGACGTTCCGTTCCCCAAACTTCTCAATTTCATTAAGAATTCATCAGATTTCTTTTTTAAATTCTTTTGCGGTTGGACATATGAACTTAAAGCTACCCTCATTGTATTTAGTGTTTAAAAATGTATTTTCCAAGTTATACCTCGATCGTGGTACATAAATATAATTTGATACAATAATTTTAAAGATGGCTCTATGTGCGAGTTGTCGGAAACAAATGTTTCTTTTATCCGTTGCACTGTTAATCCACGAAGTATGTAACTTTTATTTTAGTTCCGACATTGAGGAAAAAATGGAAAAATCTTAAGGATTCCTATAGAAAAGAATTAAAAAAGAATCCGCCTTTACGCTTTGGTAACACAGACCTTAACGACGAAGACTGTACGCCACAGTGGAAATATTTTAACCTAATGACATTTTTAAGAGAAGAAATTTTACCAGTAGACGATGAGATCAATCTTACTGATAACGAAGATTTGGATACTTCTACTCTATTTGAATTACAATCTTCGCTAGCGGCGCCATTATCCCAACCTTCAAAATCTGAAAAGACCGATTCTCGTAAACGCAAAGTAAAAGATTATCGAGGTGAATTCTTAGAAATAGAAAGAAAGAAAATAAGAATGTTAGAAAAAGAATTGAAGAAAAGTCAAACACCAGATATAGAAAAAACAGAGGATTATTATTATCTTATGAGCATTTTGCCTGAAATGCAAAAACTCAGTTCTATACAGAAAATGAGAGTAAGAAATAAAATAAATCAAATTCTGATGGACGAAATGGTTTCGAATACATTAGGACATTCCTCAATTGATTACGAAAGTAAACCAACAAGAGATATGGAAATCAGCAATACAGCAATGCATCATTTTCATCAAATGAATCCGTAGATAGCGAAATTCTGTACTCTGATTTTTGAACTCCTTAAATAATTATAAGTTACTTATTAATAAAATAAGACTGATTATTTTAAATAAATAGATACCTACGTATCAAACTTAATATAAAACCTAGATAGTTTTAATGGGTTATTTAAAAAAGGAACAAACGTTAAATAAGTAATATTTACACTTACCTGAATTTGAGAGATAATTTTTTCTGGATTATTGAAAACCCTGTTGGATTTGATAACTGTCTTTTTAAATTAACTTCTATGTGTTCGCTGTATAATCACTTTATAAAAATGTATTGCTATGTAGTCGCTTATTTAATCTTGCGCATTCATACATTGACATGAATATTTGCTATGTTCTTATATAAAGCTCGAAATTCTTTAACTAAATACCGAAATGTATAATCAGTTATTATGACTTAAAAACATACTGATTTCCAATTTCAAGAAAAAATATATAATTCAAATAACGCTATGATTTTATGCGCGATTAAACTTAAATACGTCCACTTCAAACGCTAATCGTAACCGCCACCCGCAACCGCTACTGACATTTAAGTGGCGCGTACACAGCGACCCCGCCTCGTTTACCGCGCGCGCGCCGCTTTTTTTTTCAAAGGATAAGGGGACAAACGAGCAGTGGATCGTCTGTACTAAAGTCCCGTCCAAGCAGAAGAGGATGCTAGTGTTGCAATATATATTTTTTATATTGGTTGAGTAGAAATGTAATATTAAAAAATAACTAATATCAATTACGCTATAAAAGTTATAAATTTTGAATGTAATTCAGTTGTTTACATAATACGTTATACTATCTATAAACACATTTTGTATACGCAACAATGTGTTTATAGCAATTAACATGTATTAAACTGAAAAAGATTCTAACTTGAAGTAACTTTTCATATACTGCTAAGACATAACAGGCTTCTTCTGGACGGGAATAAAATATTTTTCAGTCTGCTGAAGTCGCCTGCAAATGTCGAAAAATTAAAGAATAGTTCTTCAATTTTTTTCCCCAAATAATCTTTAAAATTGTGAAGTTGTCTTTGATACCAACTACATTACTTAAAAAAATATACATAAAATTTACTAGATTACCACCTACTACTTAACCTTACTTGTTATCGTTCTTACAATAATAATGGCACAATGTCTTCTTGTCTCATTTTTCCGTAGTATCTACTGATGCCATTAACGTGACCGATGCCAACGACGGCCAACACTCGAGGATTTTGAACTATAAAATGTCAGTTCTTAATTTAAAAATGTTATATTTTAAATTCAATATATGGAGGTATGAATGTTTGGTAGAAGGTTTCTCCAGAATGGTTCAACGGATCGCAATAAAATTTTGCATAGATGTAGAACATAGTCTGGACGAACACATAGTAATTTTTTTTTTAATTGTGCACATCTAATTTTGCTCTACTATACTAGTCGCAACAATACGACCTACGATCTACTAATTTCATTTAACAGAAAAAGAGAAGTAGAAGCAAAGTACCTATTTGTATATTTATCATGCGTAAACAGGAACGTGAAAATGGCTTACCAGTACGGACACACTCTTGTAAGGAGTAGGCAAGACAACGGTCACGCTCATCGACAAACACATGAAAAATCTTTTTAAACGCCGGAACTTCTCTTGTTATTTCATCAAATTGTGACTGGACAAACTCTTTACTCTTATATTTTTCTATTTGAAATTTACTGCAAAAATAGTACATTTCAATTTAACCGAAATACATTTGCTTACAACAGATGACTTAAGTACAAATAGGATTAAGATAAGCTACAAAGCTGTTTTACTTTTGAAAACATCTATATGAAAACTGTAGATAAATGAATAACTGAAGGAGTATGATTTAGAACTTACTCGAGCGGTTTCTGATTCGTTTTTGACAAGTGGTAAAGTACTTGTCCAATTTCAATCATATTCAGAGATTGAAAAGCTCTTGATATTGTTATTTGTATCGGACGATCGCCAAGGAATAATTTACATCCTGGAATTTTTTTCATCTGGAAAAAATATTTTTATAAGAAACGTTACAGACTTGGTATATTAATTAATATGATAATTTTTCTAACTTCTTGATATGCTCTTCGAAATTCACCACCAGGAGCTACTCCCAATTCCTTGGCGAGGTCAGCATACGTCTTCAAGAGCATTGCGTGTAACATGCCAGAAACAACTCCTTTATGCTCTTTCATGGTTTGCCTATTACAAAAAAAAGAATTAGTAATAAAAATAATGTAAAGTAAGCTGAAAGGCCTCTGGTAAAATAAGCCATAAAGGACAGCGATTCCAGCTGATTTCACAAGTTTATTAAACGAACATTAGGTAAACTTACGAAAATTTTTTACTGTCAAATTTTTTTGCATCCTCTAAAAATTTCTTATCATCCAGTTCTAGCAATGACACTCTTTGTCTGCATAACTCCACCAGTATTGCATTCGGTTTTAGAGAGTGTACAATCTAAGAAAACAAAATACTTATTATAGATTATTTGGTTACTTAAAATGTCCTTACGAAATTGCATTTCAGCGCAATTAGAATAAAATCAGTACTACCGTTACTGTGGTTTTGGACTCTCCTATGTGTGACAAGAAAATATTTATTCTATTTATATCTGACCTGAGAAACTTCTTCGACAGACTTCTTGCTAAAATGTACAGTCCCTAAGACAACTACTTTTGCTGCCGCGTCATTTTGAAGTACTGTTGCGGTGTTCGGCAGAGTCAAACCGGAGTCGTAACTGCAAACTCGTGATGGCAATGTAACAGCTAAAAATTACAAAAAAAATCACATACAACTATACTAAACATGGTATCCTTTTTTTATATTAACAGGCTACTTATAGTCATTTAAGTTGTACTTAGTCTACGCTACAGTCATTATCTTTTCGAGGTTATTTTTACTGCAATGTAATTTGGTTATTTTATCCTAAATAATTATAAAGTTAGCAAGATTATTACACTTGTTCAGCGGTGCCCTTGAACTTAAAACAGAGACATTTCGTTTAAGTAACGTGAAAATTTTAGAGGAATAAATTCTCATGTTTTTAAACTTTTTTAAATATATAAAAACGTATCATTTTATACTAAAATTTTAATTTTTCATATTTTTTTCAAATTATGGAAATTGTGACTGGTTTATTTTGACATTGTTGATGTCACCAATTTGTCAGTGTATTTTTTAATTTCGTTCTGTGCTTTTAGGCCAAGAAGAATTTACTCGATAAGTGTAAAAATAAGAAAATTATGAAACTTTTTGTCACGTAGCCTTTCGACACGTGATTGAAAAATAACCCGTTATTAGGTCTTAAATATTTTAGGAATTTTCAACACTTTACTGTTTTCAACTGATTATTGAATGGTATTATTGACAAATTAAACAAACGATGAATTTTTTAATATTTATTTCAGTAAATTTACAATTGTTAGCACACCAACGCAGGCGTTAGGACGCCAAATAATCAATTCGTTAAAATATTAAAAACAATCAAACTGATAAAAATCACAAACCAAACCACCACGTAAAAATTAAGCGATAATAATAATTATGGTTTCCTAATATGTATTTGAAATAAAGCCTTATTTTGTGAAACTGTGCAATTATTATCATTAAAATAATCTTAATTCAGTTATTTAGCTATAAAAAAAACTAAACATTTTAATTATAAGGAGCCGTCAATATTTTTGGGACAAGAATACGATAAGAAATCAACTATCACAGTCCTCTATCATATCACCTTATGCTTTATTTTTCAGAACCTTTATCAAAGGAATCAACCTACTATTTGACTTCTGTCATATCCTGGTTCATCAAACGCGTCTTCATAGAGGAAACATCAGTACATATTGCTATCTCTGTTCTTCAAAAAATAATGTGGAGGAGAGAAAGGGAGAGGTAGTGTTTTTATCGTGGTTGTCGGCAAGAGGACGACTTGTAATGTCACGGAAGCTTATCCCATATTGTTTGTAAACATCGAGAAGAAAATGCAATTAAAATTACTCTTAACCTTAATTAACAGCATTTTCACATAATAATTTATAACCAAATGTATATTTTGTAACAGACAAAACTCCATCTTTTAGTGTATGCTGACAATTGTTTCATTCGTTGCTAAATTTTCAACTATGTCCTAAATTTTACTTACCCCTACAATAACATTGACTCAAAATCTACCTACCTTATCGTAATTTACATTCTTGTTAATTCAATTTCCTCGTTTTAAATGCACCATACTTTAGAAGAATTAATTTTATGAAACAGTCACAAAAGGTTACAATAAATATCTTATATCTTTCTAACGTATGATAAAAGTAATCACAAAATCACTCAATTTTCTTTAATTTTCTTTTGAAATTACAGTTACTAAATAAATGCCATAATATAAAGTAAGAAATATAACCACGATACACAACTCACGCGCAATAAGACTTGCGTCCGATGACGTCACAGCGAATACGTACAGATGACATATTTTTACGTCTCGACTGTCAAACTTATTAGTGCATAGTCCTTTGTTTCGGGCCACTAAGACCAAACTTAAAAATCACCTCTAAACAGAAAATACCTTTGTAAAAACTAGACACAGTCCACAATAATAGGCATCTTTCGTTTTTAAATCCTTTTTCATCTATACTATAATGAATTAGTAGAATCCAACACTATTTTACTAAACGATTTCAAAAATTCGGTTTCCATACACTAATTCTAATTAAAATACGATATATATATTTATATATTTGGCAAATTTTTAAATGATCTTTTAACAATAATTGTATAAATATATTTGAATGTATACGATAGTATTTTTTTTATAGGAGAAGGGGGCAAACGAGCAACGAATCGCCTAATATTATTTGATCCGACGCCCATTGACATCCGTAACGCCAGAGGAACCGCAGATGCGTTACCGGCCATTAAGGAAGGTGTACGCTCTTTTTATAATATACATATATAATCTTGATTAATTAACAGTGCAATAAGAATTATTCATGTGCCAAATAAATATCTATATATAATTAATATTAATAATAATTTTAAACTCTATAATAATGTCTCTAGGCCTAAATTTTATTTATTAAAAGTTTAAAGAGAGCGTTTTGTGATTATATATTAAAAGAATCAATATATATTAGAAATTTATTGAATGAAAACAACATTAATATAGTTTAACCAGGAAAATGAAATCCCTATCATGGGGGAGCCTCAATCGCCTTCATTACGTCAATTGAAGAAATTCTATATTTTTCCGTAACAAAGTTCGATTACTGCCACGCACAAAGGTTAAACAGTCATAAAGTTGACACTTAAATAAGATTTAATACGAGAAATTAACACTTAAGTGACAATTAGTTTTTTTTTTTTCAAAATTCAGATATAAATATTCCTTCATAATTAGGCAATTTAATTCAATAATTGTCGTATTGTAAATAAAATACAGATATTAAATTGAATAACATAAATATACGATTATACATTCAAACCCCGATAAGAGATTTCTATGGACCGTAGTATTTCTCTCTTAAAGAGTCCTGTGGCAGGGATACACATAAAATACATAGACAGACAGATAATACAGTTATTTAAAATATGTGTTACTTAAGAAACATATATACTTATTTAAAATCATAAAAACTTATTAAGACCAATGTACTTTTTTAATCGGAAGCTAAATATACACATTTTTGACTTATTACAAATATTTAAAAAATATTTTTTTATAATGTTAGCCTTCAGACTTTAAATCAAATAGAAACCAAAGAGATAATTCCATAAACGAGAATAGTTTCCATATCTCCTTTAGTAGAAAATAACAGTACAACAAACAAATTTTTATTATTTAACAATTCACACGAACATACATATATCAAGTCGAGACTTTTACAATTTTAAACATATTCAGACAATTCATATAATTGGGAACACTAAAATTACATATATTTGCATATTTTTTTTATTATTTTCTTTAATTGTGGCTCAAAAAACATCTCGAAATACGACTTAATAATACAATGTATGAAAACAAATGTTAATTTTCATTTTTACAATATTCTATAACAATAATAGATTAAGATGATTTCGAATATTATTAAAAGGTCGTTAACTATTTCGTAGATGTCGCCAACAGAGCCGTTAGTGAGCCTGCGAGACAAAAATATTATATAAATATTAGGTTTTTAAATGTAAATATTCAAATACGCCATTAACTAAAATTTATCACTTAATCAACTAATATTCGGACATCGCTTTAAAATCAACTGTACAATAAGGGTCGTTCGCAGTGTTCCACTTACAGAAAAAATCCCTTTTTCCTTGCAACTAGACAGACCGCTCTTACAAAAATTACCAAATAGCATTTAGGTAGGTAGGTACAGATCGAGTTTTTCTCGTACACGCTATTTAAAAACTTTTATTGGTCATTGTTACCGCGTCGCGTCTCAATGCTTAAAAAACATTCAAACGACTTTCGCTGAAGGTAGAATACCACTTGAGTCCCCGTTAGTACCTATTTGCTCAGTAACTGTCTTTAAAAACGTCGTAAACTTGCGGCCTAAAACTAAGCCTAACCTAACACGAGTGATAGCAATATTTGAATAGTAAAAGCATTTAAATAAAGGCTGCCAAATACAGAACCATTAAATGACAAAAAAAACTGTATAAATGTAGTTGATAGACTACAAATACTATACCAGTGTGTGTTGTGGGAGGGTAGTGACGCGGTGAGTCATCAGGGCAGCAGACGCCGCGGGAAGAACTTGTACACGGCGTAGATGATGGCGCCCGCGCAGGCCGCGCGCACGCTCACGCGTAAAATGCGTGTCGACAACGACGGCGGTGGAACGCTACAAACAATTATATACAGGGTTTTATCAGTTTTAATAATAAATTAACAATAATTATTTTATTAATAAGAACCCAGCTTAAACATTCTGAAAAAAAAAATACCCTGATAGTACTTTTTTGGGATATAAAAAATCATCAAATATCTTTTTTCGACTGTTTTGCATCGTCGTAACTAAAGTTACTCGAACATTAAATAAAATGATTATCAATTTATTTAATTACTAACACAAGTAGCGGCGTGATGTCCTGCGCAGTGATCTTGCCCCAGTGTTCCACGATGCCGGCCACATGACCGATGCCCACCACACCCACGATGCGGCACGGCTCGTTACCTATTTTTATTATTTTACTAATCAATACTAATTTTATATTAAGAATATTATAAATGCAAATGTTTTCGATGTATGAGTGGATTGATGTTTGTCGATGAAATGTGGCACAGATGTTTTACCTAACATAGGCTGAATAAATACATAGGCTACCAATACTAACTAATATTTTTTTAAATTCCGTGAGGACAAAGTCGCAGGCTACAGCCAGTATTGCATACAATATTATTATATTAATCAAACTTCACAGTTACTCGTAATTTCTTACGACACGGAATACAATTTTTAAATTTTGTCGAGTAGTTTTTAGCAAATGCATAAGTGTTAAATTTAATTATAAACAATACACTAATATGTTTTGTCTTGTACATCAAATCAAACTCGGGTGCTAAATAGAACACGGATACGGAGATAAGTATTGCTTATGTTGTGTTTATTCGATTAATTAGAACGTCATATTCAAAATCATTTCTAAATATTGACTGAGAAAAGATGCAAGCGTAATAATAAAAATTAAACAGTTTGGATGGATGTTTGAAACACGTATCTCCAAAACGGTTTAACTGATCACGTTAATATTTGGCACAGATATAGATCATAGTCTTGAAGAACACATAGGCTACTTACTAAGTTTTTTTTTGTAAAAATATACGTACGCGGCTGCATTGCAGCGATCTGCAGCGAATGGCAGAGGTACATGTCACGCTCCACCACGAACACTCGCTTGAGCGCCGGGAACTCCTCCGCCATCTCCTCCAGCATGTCGTCCAGCATCTTCTTCATCTTGCATTTCTCAACTTCCTCGACACTGCAGATACACGTAACAGTGAAACTTCATCGGCAAAATACTTGTACAACTATTAATAGAGTTGGATAGATAGTAGAGATTACAGATTTAGCTCAGTCCTAACACAACGCACTAGCTCCTAAACAATTTTATTCTTAAATACGTATAAATAATTACTATTATCGTTTTACTACCTGTCGGCCGTGACTCCGCTCTTGCGGAATTAAAATATTTAATTAGTAGCCTATGAATTCTTCTAGGATATTTTCTACATATATACCAAATATTACCAAGATCCGTTAAACCGCTCTGGAGATAACTTCTAACAAATATTCATCTATCCATACAACTAAACTTTCGCATTTATAATATTAGTAAGAAGTAACATTTATTTGTGAAGTGAAAGCATTGATCCCCTTTTTGAACACAGTTGAAATTAATGTGCAGATGTGCAGAAAGATATTTTTAATCATACTAATATTATAAATGCAATAGATTAGACGGTTGGATGAATTAACGAGTGGATGGATGGATGGATGGATGTATGGATAGAGATACATTTCAATCTCCAGAACGGCTTAAGGGATTTTAGTGAAATTTGGCATAAATATAGAACATAATTAGGAAGAATACATAAGCTACTAATAATGTTTTTTTTTAATTCGGCCCGAACAGAGTCGCGGGCAAAAGTTAGTTCAAATCAAACACATTTTGATGCCTATAATGTGATAACATTATTATATCTAAACACAAACCACAGCATAAAAATAAAACAAATACTAAACCACAAGAGAAAAATAAATTTTAAACCGAGAAATAAATAAAAAACGTTCTAATTACCTGATACTTTGATTGGAAGTAAGCAGATGCCAAATGAAGCGTATTGTCTGTCCCCATGTTAATGAGGCTATGGCTCTATGCAATGTTATATCAATAGCTCTGTCGCCCAGTTGAAGTACGCAATTAGGTATCTTTTTTGCCTGAAATTATAATTTTCAATTAATATATACCATCTTATTGTAATAATACATGTTATAAATGCGAATGTTTGTTTTATAGCTTTAGCTTGTTTCTTAAAACAACCATACAACCAAACATTAGCTACAATTATTTTTTTTTGAATTATTCGCGGACGGTGTCGCAGGCGACCGCTAGTATTTATTAGAAATGAGACCGCTTAAATTACAAATGAGAATGTTTGGATGGATCTTTTTAGAAGGTAGGTTCAGACTCATACATGTAGAACATCATCTGGAAGAACACATAAGCTATTACTAATTAAGTTTTTTTTAATTACGAGCGACTGGAGTCACAGGCTACAGCTAGCTACTATTTAAAATAAAATTTATCAATGTAAGTTTACCTCCGCCATAGCACGACGAAACTCTCCCCCGGGGGCCATACCAAGTTCACGGGTAATATGTGCTGACATATTCAAAAGTAGGATATACATTAAGCCATTGAAAACTCCATTCTGTGCCATTGTTGCTCTGTAAAAAAATAATTCATTCAAAATCGTATATCTATATATATAAAAGAAAGTCATGTTAGTTACACTATTTATAACTCAAGAACGGCTTTACCGATATGGCTGAAAATTGGTGAGGAGGTAGCTTAGAGCCAGGATACGGACATAGGATACTATTTAATATTTTTTATTTTTCGAATTTATGCCTTGAAGAGCTGCTTCTTATTAACTTACTAATATTATAAATGCGAATGTTTAGATGGATGGGTGGGTTACACTAATTAAGATTTTTTTATATATCCACGCGGACGGAGTCGCAGGCGACAGCTAGTTTATATATATTTTAGAGATATTGCTTTTTTATTAATTACCTTATCTTTTTTATGTTTATATTTTTAGCCTCCCTTAAAATAATCTCTTCATCAAGGAGAAGAATATTTGTTCTCTGCTCACATAGTTCAACCATTACTATATGTGGACTTACTTCTTGAATGACCTTAAAAATAGATAAAATTTTCATTAAAAATTTATTTATTTATTACTAGTGACATGCCCGGAAAATAAAAAAAAATATTTCTGATGATATTAATATAAATGTTTAAATGGATGGATGGACATTTGTAAAAAAAGTATCTCCGGAACAGCAAAACAAATCTTGATGAAATTTTCCCCCAATGTAGAAAATAGTCTGGAAGAACACATGAACTATTTATTATGTTTTTTTTTAACTCCTTGCTGACAGAAAGTTGCCAGTGACAGCTACTATATGATAAAATAAATAACTTACCCTAGACACATCCTCTTGAGATTTAATGCTGAAATGTGCCGTTCCTACTAAATAAACCTTTCCACCATCTGGTGTGTCCAATACTGTAACAGTGCTGGGCATCTCTTCTGAAAAAATATAATTAAGACTAAATTTTATAACTTACATAAATAATTAACACAAAAAAATAAATATTCAGCATTTGAGAGGCTATTATATATGTAGAAAAATATTCAGTTGAGCTGCGGTAAACTTAACCCTGTCTAATCCTGCCGTGGATTAACTAAATAGGTACCACGGCTTGGTTGGGGAAAGAAGAACAACCCGAGCTAGTGGGTAATCCAGCCTAAACACAAAGCCGGATGTCCCACAAAAAGCCCCTGCTGCTCTTCAGTACGGACGGCAAAGTCCGTAAATGCATTCTCGATGTCAACAAAAACCTTATCTAATGTGACACCTTATATTCCATGGCCATTTTCATGCTTCATATATTGACTGATTTTTATATTTTTGATTGTTTTATTACATTAGTTTGTGCACAATTATTTCTAAATGTAAAGTTACCATATTTTGTATGTATTTGTGTAAGAATTAATGATATTAATTATAGTAAACTAAGATTTGTACTTTTGAGTATAACATAGTCTTCTCATTAAATCTGTGGTATATCAAATTATAAGAAACTTTTATGTAAAAGTAATCCAGACTATACCCGATATTAGGCTGTACTCTATAATCTGACAGTTTGATTAGATTTAATTGATACTACCATGCGAAATGTGTCTTATTACTGCGAGTCTACTGTGTCATCTTTTATTTCCACATTTTAAAGATAATGAAAAAGATTGCAATATGTTTACATGAGTGTTTTACCAGTGGAAACCCATGGTTAGCTAGAATAGGCCACCCAATTTATAATTTGTTGTGTATAATTTAAAAATTCATAGAAAAAGGTTTAAATAAATACCATTCGCTTCTGAATCACTCTCATTTTTGTTCTCCTCCATTGCCTTCTCAGATGTTTCTTCTTGTTTTTTACTTGTTGTAGGCCTTACAATATCATTCTCACCTAAAACATTTTAATCATTACTACCAATAATAAAAATAAGATGAAGTAAACAAAACCCTAGCCTTAGAAACTTCAATGAGAGTGAAGCCTTACATATGTCTAAAGACCATGAGATCTTTATTGTATAGATGAGACTATCTAGGTTAGGTTTAAATATAATAAAGGTATGAAAAGGAGTTCAAGGTTTCAATTGAGATAAACAGTTAATCTATAAGTGTAATGGTAAATTTACCATCAATCTTTGTAGAAATACTGTCGGTCATTTTTAAATGAGCATCACCGCCACCATCTTCAGCTTTCAAAAACATTTGACATTCGTTAACTATGTCACATTTTACACCTGGAGGTTTTTGGTTCATCAATAACTGCTCCTTTTCCAAATTAGTACCCAAACTCGATTTATCATTCTTTATAGTATCCATTACTAGAGTTAACTGATCTCACTGACTGACCTGAAAATAAAGTTTATGTAAGATTATATTTGCATTGTTAAACAAATTCCTAGAATTTTGTAATCAGAACCAACACTTATAATTTTTACGTATTTAAATATAAAATATAGGATAAATAAGAGACGTTAATTATGCCACGAAATCAAACTACGACCTGTCAAAAACATTATCGTATAAATTTTTTTTACATCTTATAAGAAACTCTAATAAGCAGCATATATGAAATAAAATCGTGTTTTACAACATTTATCCTGAATAAACTTCCATATTCTATGATTCAAATGTACAACAAAAGAAATTATCAAGAAAGTAAACAATAACGAAATGTGAAAGCTAACGTGTGAATTTATTTTTCTTCCAGATTATTAGGTAAAATTACAAGACACATACCAGAAATACCAAAATAACTAGTGCCACTAGATATACTTATGTTCTTTAAACTAATGAATAATACTTCTAAATCATTTAAGTTTTTAGATGAAATTAAAATTGCAAATTGCAACTTCTATAAGCAACCGAAGACCCATGTCATAAATGTCATGTGTCATGTAATGTCAAAAAATTAGCGTTATTGAGCGTCTTAAATGACCCCATAAAAATGTTCTCGGGTAATTTGTTAACAATTCTGTAGAAAACACAGTTTTCTAAATTTATTAAAAAATTAAAAGTTTTTTGACATTGAAATATTCTGTAGCCAAATCCTAAATGCCTCCCTCGACGGGTTCACAAAAAAAAAAATTACCCAAAACTGCGGAGCGTTTTTATATTGGCAATATTATTCACCGTCATTGCGGCCAAAAGGTACAGGTAAAAAAATTAAGAAAATATACAATAATTCCTTTCGACCGAAGTTCATGTTGAAACGGTTCGATAGATATTTGAAATCGCTTCAATTTACTATTTTTAGGTTTTTAAACAGCTTTTACTAGCAACAGTAACTATCAATGACACCAAATTGGCTTTGGTCATCTTTACTATAATCTGTCTGAAACACACTGTTACATCACTGCATTCTGAATTTAATTTTTCGATTATCGAGCACCTCCACTGCTTCTACTGTACCTTATTAAAATTAATAATTTATCAATATGAGTGCCTGGAGACAAGCTGGTCTTAGGTATGCATTGGTAACAAATTTATCATAAATACAATTATTTAAGAAAACTTGTAATCTCCCTAACTATTTTCAGCTACATTAACTATTCCAACATCGCGGCTAAAGTCTTGCGTAGGTCTTTGAAGCCAGAGTTTAGAGCAGACGCACTAAAAAGAGACGAATCCCACGTCCGAATTACGCCATGGGCTAATGGAAGACCTGCCCGTAAGTATATTTCAGGTTTCTTATTAACTTAACGTACTGGTTATTATTTCACTGTTGTTAACGAAAACAAAAGAGTTATGTTGAAAAGTTCATTTCTTTTTTGTAAGTGATGACAGATCTATGTAGAATCGCTCTTTATTGAAAGAACTCAACAAACGAAGAACACTTGTAGGTAAAATTGTGATTTGTATACAAGTCTAACGAATGAGGTGTCTTTAGGTTCCCTTTCTTTTTGGCTGACTTCTTAACATATTAGTATCACCTTCAATTATATGACTGATTAAAGAAATCAAATAAGTTTCTGGTAATGGTCGCTCACAAGATTCTTTTATTTGCTTGAACAAAAAATAATCTGCATACCCCTTATATCATACAATATTTACATAAACATCATCATTAATTCATGTTACATCATCAATATTCATAATTATGTTATGTAAAGTAAATGAGAGATTGAAATTGTCATAAGTATGACTTAAAAATCTTAATGATTATAATTTATATTTAATTTCAGACGAAAAGGAATAATGAGCTGAAGTGTAAGTTAGGTTGTTGTGAGAAATTAATAAAATTAACCAATGATTTAGTAGTTTTAACAACACAGATGTTTTCGTTTTGATTGTGAATATATAATATCTAGAAAGAAAAAATAATATTAATAATGCATTTTTATCCGAATGTGTACTTGACTAACTGTGTAATGTTTTTGTAAGCCAACAACTAACTTAGTGCCTGTAGTAGCCTTTTTGCCCTGTGTTTAAAAGCCAGCATAGTCTCCTTTTCTTAATAAATGTTTTTTTTCAGATCTTCAAAAGGCAGCCGCTAAGTAGAAGCATGCAATTATGGAAGTTTGGTTTAAACATACTTTAGTTTTATTTAAATAAATTGTTGTTTCAAATATGATTTTTATTGTGATATAAAATATCAATTCTTATCGCTAAATTTAATTAACATCACTGAATCTGGGGCTTTTTACTGATATATTTGCTTCTTTCACCTGATCTATTATATTAACACCCAAAGGAGCAGTCGGATCTACATCGCTTTGTGATATAAATTGACAAGTTTTTATGCCTTTTCTTGTTTTTTCAATACCATTCCATGCAATCATAATCCCATTGTCCGTGCATACTTTATGAGGTGGTCTATATAAATTGTAGCCCAAATGGTTAACAACACTTTTTAAATTAGTGAAAATATAATCATTGCTAGCAACACCACCTGATACTACTATATTTTTAGCATTTTTATTTAACAGGTTTTTTACTTCACAAAATTTTATAGCTCTCTCAAGTCTGTGTGCTAAATGTTTAGTAATACTGGTCTGGAAAGATGCACACAAGTCATATACTTCAGGAATAATTTCATCACCCATCAAGCCATGTTCAGATTCCTTTTTAATTACTTTTCGCACCAGTGAATCTTTTAATCCACTAAAACTAAAATCACAGTCTCTATTTCTCTGCAATGGAATAGGAAATTCAAATAAGGATGGATTTTTAGCATTCTTAGCAGCCAACTCTATTACTTTACCTCCAGATGTTAATGAATACTCCGGCATATTCTTTAACTTCATTCTCCGAGCAGCCTTATCCATCACTTCACCAGGGGCATTATCTAAAGTCTGGCCGATCAGTAGAAAATCATTAACATCATTTACAACAGTCAAAAAGCAATGTCCCCCTGATATAAGCAAAGCCAAATAAGGAAATGGTATATTATAGTATATTCTTACAACTAATGCATGGGCTTCCATATGATGCACTGGTATTATTGGCTTTTGATATTTTTTGGCAAGAAAATTTGTATATTTTACACCTATCATTAAGCTTAACAAAAGTCCAGGTTTTGTGGTAACTGCTATTGCATCAATATCATTTATACCAATTCTAGCATCATCTAAAGCTGTATTTACAGCTAATTCTATGTTATCACGATGAAGTTCCCAGGCGTTTATTGGATTCACACCACCGTACTTAACGTGGATTTCATTTTGAGAATGTAAGAATTCTCCCAATATAGTAGCCTCACTGTTCACTACAGCACAACCGGTATCATCACAAGATGTTTCAATTCCCAATACAGTAGTTTTATTCGATGAGCTAAGTGTTCTTTTAGTTAAACCGTTCAAAGGACTTAGTTTATTGTATAATTTAATACACTTTGTCACCCACATTGTGCTATTTTTAAAAATATCTGTTTACCAGAGAAAATAATCGTGCATCATAACTTTTCAAGCTTGAACTACCAATAACAAAGCAATATTAGATTTCCCTAATAAAACAAAGTATATAGTTATATTTATATAAATAAATATGTCTAAAGATATACTGATTTTGGCTTTTCTAGCATTTCAGTTTTATTTTTATTTTTGACCTTATTGTGACATTTCCTTTAAACTATTTGTCATTGTCAAGTAAGTAAAGAGTTTATAATGATTTGACATTTTCTTATTATTGCCCTTTCCCTGGTTCTAATTTTGGTTATTAACAAAAAAATCGGAATTGATACATACTTACGTCTTCTTGAGTTTTACTTCCACATGCCATATACTTATACCGTTATTTCGTTATTTTCACGAGTAAAATTGGTGTAATTATGATTGAGTAGTACTTAATTTTTTTTGTATTTTTTGTTTTTGCAACTTTGAAAATCAATATAGGCATCATATTTTATATACTCTTTGATAGGCATGCAAAATAGAAGAAAGTTTTGGTAGAATTAGAGATAGGTGTTAAAATCGATACTCTTGTGTATTTGTTTAATTATCGATGTACTTTTTCCTATAATACCCAAAGAGTATATAAAATATGAAGAATATATAAAATATAAAATATGATAATACCTTTTATAAATTAATAAAGTCCACGTTCGACGAACATAGAATGATATCATAGCTATTCTAAGTTCATCAAGTTTTAAATAATTTTGATTGCAATTTATTAGATTGCAGCAATAGTTTGCATATTACTATCTTTTTATCCAAATTCCTTACGACTAAGACGTAATCCAATTTTTCTATTTTCCGTGATAATATATCTCGAAGACGAAAATAGGTTGCCCATTTTAATAAGCCTATTTATGTTTTTTAATATTTAAGCAAAGTAGGACTTATACATTTCTTAGATTAAAAATCTTTTTTTTTGTTGTAACACACAAAGCTTTTTAAGTTATGCTTTTATTTAAATGAGATCATTTTACAATGACATTTTAATATTTTCTACCATTATTTATCTTAATTTTATAAATTTCATTCCTACGAGAACATCCCTAAAGTGTCAGTAGTAATTGGTAGGAGTAGGTAGTAATACTACACTGAAAATGATATGTAACCTGTAACCAATCGAGTTTTCGTACATATATTTTGATGTAGGGTTGCATCCGGAATACAACTTATTGTTTAGTTAAATGTAAAATTTTTTGAAAAGTTTAAATTCTAGTACATGGAAACGTTATTCCATTAAAAGTAGAATACTTTTCATGTTAAAATTTTAGAAGAATTTTCAGTAAGTATACTTGTTAACCTAATCAAGTGAAATATTTTATTACTATTATTATTTTAAGTTTATTTGAATCACACTTTTAAATTCTCGTCAATTTATATTGTAAATAAATTCAAGGTAATAAGTGGTAATAAGAGACGGAAGGGATTTTTACATATTTTTAGTGAAGCAAATTGCAAAAATAGCCGGCATTTCCTACGGTTCTACGCTTCGGATTTATTTTTACTTATTTCTTGTGTTTAAAAATATATTTTTATGATTTAATGATATATCTTGGAAATTTACTCTCACGATTTCATTCCAATGTTAGTTGTTTTTATCATTGAAATTTCCCTGTTCAATGTAAGATATATTATTAATTTCCTTGTTACAGGTTTATAACGATAGATGTTAATAAAAGCAAAATGATGAGCTATTTGAATATGTTGAAGCAATCTACAGTTGTGCATATGTGTTTTGCTATATCATACTTTACATCTGGCTTGATATTGAATTTTATTCAGGCCATATTTTATTTCGGCTTACGGCCATTTAATAAAGCATTGTACAGGAAAATAAATTACTATCTTTCATATTCATTTTACAGTCGTAAGTATCTATTTGTCATATTCTTTATAGCTATGGTGTTTGTGATTATGCTGTTGTATACTAGATTAAAACATTGACATAAAGATACTATGCTATAATATACAAAATCCTGATACTTATTTCTACAAGTTCTTTTTTTTCTGAATAGGAAGCAAATGAGCAAGTGTCCATAGACATTGGCTTTCTTTTAAACATGTATTTTGTTTCAGAATTAGTTTTCATGTCTGAATGGTGGTCAGGAACAAAAGTATCATTTTATGTAAAAAAAGATGAATACAACAAATATTATGGTAAAGAACATGGATATCTCATTATGAACCACAGCTATGAGATAGACTGGCTGATGGGTTGGCAGTTTTGTGATGGATTAGGAGTTTTAGGGGTGAGTGTTTTCAATAATGTAACAAATCGAAACGGAATAAACTAACAACCTTACTAATATTACTTTAGATAGACAAATGATTGACGGTATTTCTGTATCATAGAACATATGTCACAAAAAATTTAATTCTGCCTAAATGAAATAATGGGCAAAAGCTTATATTCTATACAAATTATATATATCTATACTGAAGACAAGCACACTTTGAGAAGCTAGATGATTTTTATTCTCAAAAGGTTTAGAAAGATAATATAATAATATATGTTTAAAATGGTCTATTCTTACATTGTATTATGATTAATTTTTACATACACATGATGTTGCAGTTTAACAGTGTACAATGAATAAATGCAATATTTCGCTATAATTGATTACATTCTAATTAACATTGAAATGTCCTACAATTAGTAAGCTCTTGTAGGTAAAATTATATCTTTATAATAATTTATCCCTTTAATAACAGCTATGATAGCCATTGATAAAGAATTTGATATCCTTATCTGTCTGTGTAAATTATACAGCTCACAATTATATAATTTTTTAATGTTGACTAATTTATGTACATATGTGGATTTGTCTGATTTGTGATCTCAAAGGTTTTGAATAACTTTTTTTTCCATTAAATTTAATTCCATGAACTTTCCATTAAAATTAAAGTACCTGGAGTACCTGATTTTAGCGATAGAAAAAGTTAAGTTTATGTTTAAGTTGATTATCGATAAAACACGAATAAAATGACATTTTCTAAAAATGATCCCTAGCTAGATCGAATTATCGCCCCCGAAACCAGCTATATACTAAATTATATGAAAATCGTTGGAGCCGATTCCGAGATTCCAAGTATATATATACAAGAATTGCTCATTTAAAGATATAAGATTATGTTATACTGTACATATTTTTCATTCGTCTTATTCTGTTTTAAAAGAGGAAGACAATATATTTATGTACAGGAGGTTCAGTAGTTAAAGGCCACGAAGCTTGTGCCTTCAATTGATACGAACATTAAGTATGAAACTTTAATGTTCCAGAGGCAACACAAATTATGTGTTTCTACCTTAAAGCTAATAACAAACTAACGTTACGTGGACTCCATCCCGATTAGACCGTTATAGCACGCGTCGCCGGACGCGCTAGTCGGGGCATGAAGTATGAATAGGGCTGTCAACTCTTAGTAAACGTAGACCCGAGCACTAATGGCAAAATAAACGATGTCGACTGTCGAGTCACTCCACAACCTTGACCATGACTCCTTGGCGGGCGACATCCAGCTACATAAATTGACTTTTTTCATACCACCCGACGACATTTACGTCAAACCCGTCCTAAGATGCGTTTTGCAAACGTGAAAACGTGGCAACCCTAACTATGACTCGGTGATTAGTCTACATTTTCCTATCGCCCGTCTTAGGTGCAGTTATCTACAATTAATTTTTTGTTCATTATCTCTCTTGGTGACACAATACATATTGTAATATTCGATGTTACGATTACAATATGTTGTATGTTATATCTGATATTGAGTAATATAAGATATATTATGTTGCATATTCTCGTAATTTTACTGACCTACATATTTGGTCGCTGCTTTTGGATGGTTCGCAACACGTTCGTTATTTACGCTGAAATCATTAAATAAATTAAAGATTTGTTTTAGTTTGATTGAGATAATTGCCGAAATTACTGTACTGTTGTTAATATCGAAGATACCAGTAATATATTGTAAGGTATCCATCATTTTTTCGTAATTTATGATCAAGGTTATTTACGATATATAATAATTCATAGTCCAAATAAGAGTCACTGACCGTTGCGACTACACAAATATTTAAACTTAGCCAATGATTTTTTTTGGTCAATTATAGTGTAGTTTGTTTTTTAATTAAGGCAAATATTTGAACATAAAAAATGACGTAAGAAACGTGTATTTAAGTTACAATAGTTCCTGGTTACGTATATCGATTGGTAATTTTCCGTCAAATGCCTTAGTTCATTTTCGACTACCAAGAAGTTGCAAAGTAGCAGTTACCCATGACTTTGTCTGCATGTTTTTTAGTTTCACAAACTAAAAAATAAGCCTCTACTCTATGCAAACATCAGCAACGTTCCATGAAATGTCCCGTCAAAATAAGTTCGGTCGTTTCAGAGATTACAAGGATCAAACGCAGAATAAAATTGGTATTGTCTTTTAAATAACGCAAATACATTATATGCTTGAATTGTAAATATTACGTCTTTCGACCATAACGTGAAGTACAGTATGGTCAAAAGTCAAACATCGGTAAATTGTATTATACCGTTATGTATACATCTATACATATTAAAAGGAATTGAAATATCTGTACGTAATGTGATGTGCTTGCGTGAATGATAATGGGAAACTAATTTTTAAAATTTTAGTCTGTATGTCCGTAAGGCCGCGTTTGTTCCGGGTAATCTCCGGAACTTCTGGACCGATGTTGACCGGACTTTTACGGGAAGGTAGCTGATGCACGCAGGCATATTGACTACTTTTTTTTTTAATTTAAGCTGATGAAGTATCGGGCGTCCGCTAGTTCTATAGTATTTACTTGTTACAATGTATAACTCATAAACAATACACAATAACATAACTTATTATAATGCCAGCGTACCTACGCGGATTGTACGTTGAATACTAATTACAAAATAATACAGGAAGCACAATTGTAGGTCATTGATACGTGTAAGTCAATTAAAATTATAATCTTAAAGTTTGTTATCTGACCAATTAAAGGAGGTATTATATGACGTAAAGTCATAACACGTTAGTTTTTTGAGAGTTGATATGCGAATATCACGAGTTACTTCTTATTAAAAATTTTGCTTAATTTAATATCGAAGATATTATATGAACATTTAAGGGGATGGTTTCAGTTTATCTCAGGCGTATAGGGATACAATAGCTAGTTGATTTTGTTTAATCACTAACCGTTGTTTTCTGAGACCAAAATCTCTGTTTAACACATATTGTCATCTCTGTCATTATCTTTGACAAAACAGAGATAACAATATGTTTAAAACAGTCTTAGAAACCCACGGTAAGACTAATGCGATAAATTAAAAACAACTGAATATTGT